AGCAAACGGAGAAAATGTTCCACAAATCGTAAATCAGCGAGATGCTTTGACAAGGGGCAGCATCTTCCAACACAGACTAGTAGGCAGGGCCCAGCTACGCCTCCTGAAAGCATGATGGGCCAGGGAAATGGAAGGGGGACTGGACACACTGCACCCCCTGAAAGGCCCACTCTCACTGGAGCTGAGAAGAGCCGTGAGGTCGCAGCCCCTCTGTAAAAAAATCAAGCCAATAATGTCTCCTATATGCGGCATGCAGCAGATAGGCAAGTTCCCTTTCACGCACCTGCACACCAGATGCAGCCAGCTGTTCTCCGCACACACCACAAGCCTGGCACGCAGGACAGCTGGACCTTTCACACCATCACGCCCAGCTCTTTCCTGGTCCGAGCCCACACCATACAGTTCCTGGCCCCCGAGTACATCTCTCTGTACCAGTCCCATATAGCTGGAGATGTAATTTAGACCTCACCTATGTAAAATGCACGTGCACTTGAATGGTTCTCACCTAACTGCTCACCTACTACAGCTAGTTTCCCTCTCTCAGACAACACCCCAGGAGTTGGGAATGGAGAACGCTTAGTAGCCGAGACATCCCTGAGCAAGGCCATTATGTCTACTGATGCTATTATTTATTGACTGTACTGTAGCCAGAAAGGTGAACAGACACTAGTTGTGTTAAATAACAAAAACCCACAAGCACTCGAGACCAATGGTCAGACACGGCTCACCTTACCAACAGAATCAGCTGCGCTTAAGGGTACTTACTACCCGAATCAAGGCAAGGAGCGTTTGACATGAACCTGTCTCTGAGGGTACAGTTGCAATTCGCCTGCTTAATTAATCTACTTGTAGTGAATTAGCAACAACATTCAACTTTCTCCCCACTGATGTATCCATCCCCAGGCACCAAACCTACTCCACGGGTAGGATTCAAGGAAGATAGGTCTCACTGACTTTCAGTGGATGGATTACTTAGGCTTGGGCCTCCAACCAAACTGAAAAGAATCAGGTGCTCCACTCTCACCGTCAGGGACAGCAATTCTCCTTTTGACATCCCAGCCTAATTGACGTGAAATCTTATAAAGCCTCAGCATCATTCTTACTTCACCCAGAGTCTGGAAATAAAAGGCACTTCAGGTGTAACAAGGAGGAAAGGGACCCGAACGAGTTGACTATACAAGAGCAAATGTAATGAAATGCGTCTTACCTGAAAGCCCCCCAGGGGCTAGACAATTAGTTCCCCCTGTTTCAGTGGAGGAAGGCACAGAGTCTGGACAATCTGCTGCAGCAGGGGGAAAGAGTGAGAAAGAGAGAGATATTAGTTCCTTAACACGCTGTAAACACAATGTCAAGAGCAGAAGACACATTCCACAGGGTTTAACAGGAAACTATTACTAATTGTCTGCCCAGTTCATGGTGATACTTCCACCCTAACTCATTACCCTTGTGTAGGCTCCACACTACCACTTAATCATCAGTCAGGGCATGCAAAAATTACATACTGGCTGGAATCTTTTTGTCCTAGTCACTGGGTAATTAGCTGAAGTCTGCCACTCTTGTGCAACTGATTGAACTCCAGAAAGTTGAAACACTGTCTTACACCTTGACTATAGTACAGAACTATATTAGCAAGGTAGAAGTACTAAACCGGGAAACGTAAAAACGCTTTCTGTCACCGACGGTCTAATGAGGGCTTTGCTCTCTTGCTTACATTTTTGGAGCCCCCTTTTTTGTTTGGCCAATTTCAATTACTCAAACACTTCGCCGCCATTCATGGGAATTTACTTTGCTTTCCATTGTCTTATGTGCACATCAATGGACTCTTAACTGGCTGACTGGACTGAATTCCCTCCATCCACCACTGCAGAGAATTTTTACGAGGGAAAATAAGAAAAAAATAAAGCGTGTCATTAACCATTCCTCTGACCAGATCACAACTTTTTGGTTCAGAGAGGGACAAAGTCTGAAACACTGAAACTATCTTCCCGCTCTACATAATTGTAGCATGAGTTCCACACTGATCAACCTAGCATTGCTTGTAAACTTGCACTTTTGTTAATCTTCTGTCAAGGGAAATGTAAACATGGAAATATTGGGGTCTCGGTGCATTTAAGAAGTCAAGCGAGCACTCTCAGCGTACACCCAACGCACAGGTTCCTGGCATGCTGACAAGACGACCCTTCTCGTCACCGAATCTGGACATTCCAAATTGTATCCTTCCAGCTACCGTTTTCTCTCAGAGCCAGCCAGGGCCACCGCTACTAGGGTTGAGTTTTCTGTTACAAGATGTTTCCCCCCCTCAGCCAAGCACTCGCTTCTGAAAACTAGTGAAAAAACATGTGTATGTGTAATCTCATTTTATCAGAGTCAAGTATAACCCATAACAGGAATATACAGTTTAACAGGATACACTTAATCAAACTGAAAACAATAGGGGCGACAGGAAATAGACTTACTTGTGAAATACTGTATACTATACACTTTCTAAATGCCCTGTAGGGTTTTCTACGTTCCAGGAAAAGTTGCTTTTTTTTTTTAACCCCTTTCTACTTTCCAATCTAAAATAGAAGATTATCTTGTCCCTTTCCCCTAAGATTGCTTCAAATGAATTTGCTAATTGCTTTCCCTCTGCCCGCGCTTTCCTGAACTGCAGGTTGGATTGTGCTACAAAGCAATGTTCCCTGTTGAGCTCTGATCTGCCCCTACCTGCATATCATGCTCCCGCATGGAAGTCAGCGTAAGCCTCGTGCCATACATCAAAGGACATAATTTGCCCCTTGCATGTCATCTTGCTCTAGGGTCAAATATAACCAGGTCCTCTGTTAGTATACCAGACATTTTTAAGTAACTTAGGTTCTCTCTCTCAAGACAGCAAGAGACAGTTATAGCAATATGTCAACTTCTTGTGACTTAAAAAGACATACCCTTAACCATAAGACTGCTCTGGAGTTAGAGTAATCTTATTACAAGGCAAACTCAAATACAAATACCATCTCTGTGTTTCTTCAGACCCTCCCAAAAGCCTGGACCTTCCTGACTGTGGCTCTGCATCAGGATATGATGGTGCAACCCAGTATACTTTCATTTGGTCGCTCTCTGGACTTCAATTCCTCCCCAATATCCAACATTAAGTTCCTTTTACTGATTCATTACACACACAAAAAGAAACCTGACCAAGAACAGCACATTTCAGAACAGGGAGAAGTGCAATGCCGAGGTACGGCCTATGCAACTGGTGTGATCCACCTACGTTCTTTACGTTAAACTTGGCTAGTTTAGCCACGTATTTCCCTTTATCCCTGCCCTCTGGCTGGTATGGAGTACTTTGTCATCTTTTCCTAAGACTGGATCCCTCCAAAACTTGAGAGGTTCATCCAGAGTGACTAGATGTGTATCCCTTCATGTCTCAAGTCAGTTATCACCCGAAAAGAGCCATTTCAAGGCAAAGTGAAACCGCAAAGACAAGGAGCCCAGCCCGGTGAGGTGCTGAATGTTTTCTGCAAGTTGCTAAACTTTCAACTCCCGTTCGAATCTGCAACCCTTGAGGGCACGCAGCATGCTGCTACACTGAGTTAGGTTTTCTGCATCCTGATTCTCAGCTGACAAACATGGGATATTTAAATCTACCTGGGAAACAGAACCCAGTGGACTAGCCACCCACCCAGGCTAGTTCCTCCACCACTTCCTCAGTCACTCAGGGGTTGGAGTTTGAACCCAGAAGCCAGCTGCTCCAAGGGTTACTTTCTACTTATCCCTGGAAGGAACTGGGGTCAAAGTACCTCTACCTGCTCTCGTCAGACCTCCTCTGGCTGTGGGTGGCAGTGACTGCCTCCAGAGGAGACAAGTCCAGCCAGACCCAGCCAGTACAGACTGATGCTAACCAGGCTGATGCAAAAACAGTGTGGAGCCACCTGGAAATAAGGAAACCCGAAGTCCAGCAGAACCCCTTGGAAGCTAAACCATAGGCCCAGCCACTTTCAAGAAGTCAAAGTCCTACACGGGAACACAAGCATCCTTCTGGCCCTGGAAATCCAGCACCGTCAGAAACGGGAGCCACTGAAAAGGAGACAGGATTGCCCAGGTCATTTACATCATCACGCGGAAAGAGCTCGTCGATAAGGAATAGCAAGACACACTTGGCAAACATCAATCCTCTGGATCATGGTGTACGCGCAAGAGATCTATGCGACCATCACACCAAGGCCTTCATCTAGGCAAGGGTATGGAGGAGTGGAGTCTGCCCTAGACTTACCATCCCCCCCCCTTTGGGCCACAGAGTCCCAAGGCCAGACCAAGTCCAGACACTCAGTGCCTTGATGGCTGTTGCTGCTGCCAGAGACCAACAGATTAGAGCTGCTGCTGATTGCCTAGCACTTCAGTGTGGGCACATTTCTGCCAGGGTGATATCCCTCAACCTTTCTCCAGCCAAGGAGTACCCTCAAGACAGCAGGGTTAGGGTTTTGAGGAGCCCTATACTTGCCTTACTCTGGAGGTTGCAACACTCTGGTATTTTATAGGAGCCCCACCACATTGCCACCAGACCCTCCAGTTGGATGCAATTTATGGTCATACCCAGGACAGAAAGATGGACTTACTAGTTAAACGGCCCCTCTACTTCTGACTTCATTGTACCGACCCCCACCCACCCCAGACTCCCTGTGAAGGTTCATATCCACAAGGAGTTGGGATCATATTATATCAAGAGCACAATTCCCTTGGAGTCCACATCTGCAGTCCTTCCAGAGGTGATGACTATCACTGAAGTTAATAAGAACAGTAAGAGCTGCAGGTTCAAGCTCTTGAATAAGGGTGGAACAGCCCTTTGCTCTAGGAGCATTTACAAAAGCTGTAAAGTCACCACAAAATATACTTCAGTTACGTCCGAATTTTGGGGAGTCTACTCTCAGCTTTGCCAATGATTTGTTGCGTGTCCCTGTCCAAGGAAACGTTGCTAAATCTCACCTCGCCCATCCTGAAAGCTGTTGTAACTACACTTATTTACTGGCTTTCATTCCCATTTATAAAGGCTGTGGGCTTCATCCTTCAAGCCTTGCTCATGCACCAACCCCGCTTACTCCAACTCGAGTTCTTCATCAGCTGTTGCATGACTTAACCGTAAAGGCTGATAGATTCCTGTTAATAATACCACTGCATTTCACGTCAACATCCTGTGTCAAGCTTCCTAGTAGAGACACCAGCCTCTGTAGATAATATTGCTGAACTGACCAAGCGGTTTTCATCATCATAGTAGAAAGGCTCCTCCACTCACTCAGCCTGCTGGATCATCTGCCACAATCTCTTCCCAAAGACGTGCAACAAAAGCAAGCGGAAGAGCAGGAAGGATAGGATTGTGTTTAAAATCTGCCCAATTTGAACTCCATTCCACTGAAAGCTAATATTTTTTTCATCCAAGTAGCCTCTAACCAAATGATGGTTGGCATAATGCTTTGAAACCTAGAAAAAACGCGAGAAGGCACGCTCCCAGCCTGGTTCTGCCTGCAGCAAGAGATAGCAACGCTACCTACACACAGCGCTCCGTGTGCGCGCGCTCGTGCTCTCCACAACAGCCTTGATTAAGAAGGAGACCAAAAAAAAACCTGCCAGAGGTTGTGAAACCACCTGCAATGACAAACGTATAGACGTCTTTTGTCCCTGTCACTGCCCCATGCACTTCTCTATTCTGAATCCAACTGCCAAATGGATTTTAAAAAAAGCACAAAAAAAAAACTTTTTTGGTGAGTAACCAGTTGTTTTTGTGTTTCCGACTGGCAGCATTAATCACTTCCTATTGGCCGATATGAAGAACTTTTCCTTTCGAAACAGCACATTCATTTCTGCGGCTTTTCTGTTTACACACATTTTGCTACCTTATGTCAACACTTGCTAATGAATAAATATATCACTCCACTAACTGAAAATGAGGTCCTGGCAAAGGCAGATTGGATGTTTAAACCCTAATAGATTTATCCTAACATCTTTACAGGAAGCTCAAGGCAATCATTAACTCTTCTCTCCTACAGCTTTATGTTAGCAGCTCTCCTCCTCAACTGTCCACGGATCAGTTTGTGTCTTCCCCCAGGGTCATTATTTGGTTAAAAAAAAGGCCTAAGCATTTGAATGTCCTAAGGAAGCATCACTCTCTTGATTGTTACAGACTCTGTCTCAGTGATAACGTTCTTCCTCTAACAATAAAATCCTGTCCTACTCAGTGGACGCTTGACTGTATTAAGAAACAGTTCCTTAATCAGAACAGCTAGTAAATGCAAGTAACACTTGTTTGGGATGTAAAGCACAACACTGATATCTCCTCATTAAATAATGACCGTTTATCTAGTGTTTTTTTTTTAAATACTAAGGCAAAATATTACATGCAACCCATTCATTAGTTCAACAGCTGTGCCTGTTTCCACATGGCACAGAGAAACCTGTGTGTTATAAGAAGAGCTTACAATGGGGAAAGAAATGGACCTCGTTATAAGATCCAGGCCTGGAAGTTCCTAAGAACTTAATTTAATCGGAGTTAGTTTTCTAGAGCAAACTTTTTTTTTTTTGTTTTTTAAGAACTGCCCGAGAGAAACTGTGACGTGAAAAGAC